TGCGATATCTTATGTAGACATTCTTTGTACCATGTTCTAATCTCACTGACTGTGTACTACCTTCACAAATAGGGCATCCAAGTTTTCCTTTGATACTATACCCAGACAAATTACCATAAGCTGGAAAATCATTGATTTTACCAAATAGCATGGCTCTCAAATTAAATTTTTCCTTTTTATACCCATCATACACCTCAATACTTGTTTCCCATAATAGCTTCAAATCTTCAATTAAAGGAGTCAAGTATATGTTTGTCATTTCTAGGTTATTTTGGCCTAAAAATTAATATGGACATCATCAAATACTTGTGCTTCATACATAACCATAGACGTAGGTTGTAAATAATTAACATCACTAGCTATGTACTATAGGTACTACTTTGCATGCCATGTGGATTCATTTCGTCAGTAGCTAGTGTGAGCCGTAGGTTCCTAGAATCTCTTGCAAAGTCTGGATACTCTCGATCAAACTTTTCCCATTGAGCAGAGTTAATAGGATGCCTTATCTTTAATGCTCTCGTCTGCATGCCATGTCAAATTTTTGGAATCAATTACACTACTATGTAAGCGTTTAAACCCAGGCACTATGGGAAAGTACCACACCACCTTCTCCAAACTCTTCCCATTATCCTTATAACGTGATGCATTACATTTAGGATACTCAGTTAATAATGCATATTCATTCCTGAATAAAGTATAATCATTGGGGCAAGCATGTATTTTCTCATAGCTCATGCCTATAGATTGCAACACTTGTTTTGCATCATATGTTCGGGTTGGAAGCTCATTACCCTTCGGTAGCATTTCATGAATAAGAGAAAGAAATTCAGTGAAGATCATATAAGTCAAACTCCTTCTCACTTTCAAGTTATACAATCTCAGCACAGCGATTAATTTTGAGAATCCAGTACAACTAGTGTATAAAGGTGTTCCTGCATCATTTCTCAATCTCTCAAGCATTTCAGGACAATCTCGGAGTTCCTCTTCAACAGCATTTGCCATCTCTTCAACACGATCATCTTCGTCTATACTTGTTTCAAAATCATGTGACACATACGTTGAACCACTATTAGCACGGCTTCTATCAATTGTATCCCTTGACTCACCATGCTTATGCCAACATGTATAACTATGATAAATTCCATAGCACACTAAATAGTCTTCCAACTTGCTCGGACTAACTCACTTCAAGAGGCCACACTTGATACAAGGGCACACAATGCTATTATGATATGCCTCATGCTCTAATACAAATCTAATGAACTCCTTCACCCCCTTTAAATATTCTTTTGAGACTCTATTCACAAGCATCCATTCCTTGTCCATGATCTCTCCCAATCTACTAAGAATTGTTGAGGAAAATGATATTAGTGACTTAATCATATTGAAAGAGTTAGTTTAATAAATAAATTAACTATTAACCCACTCAATCATGAGCCATATACTTTCACATACATATCATCCCTCTCTAAGATAATTAAATTTAAGACAATACTTACAATTATATTAAAATAATTGTAAGTAATTTATCTTAAACAAAAACTTGCCAATAAGTGAATTTTTTAATTTATAAGTTCTAAATAATTTATAATTAAATAATTTATAATATTTATTTTCATGATTTCTTTAGACATTGTATTTGAACATATATAATCCAAACAACATTAGGGCCCTTGTATTTAAAATAAAAAATAAGTGATTTTTAAATACTTTAGAGATTTTTAAAAAAGGATTTATTTTGTAGAGATTTAAAAAAAAACACTAGTGCAAAAAGCATTTTTTGCCACAGTTAAAATGTATTTTTGGTGACAGAAGACGCTCTATGGTAGAAAGTAGTGGGGTAGTAAATGTACATTTTTCGCGACTGGTATAATGTAACTGTGGCAAAAGAGGCTATTTTTCGCCACAAGTAAAGTTGAGACCTGTGGTGAAAAATAGCCTCTTTTGCCACAAGTGTATTTCATACCTATGGTGAAATATATCATCTATCGCCACAGGTCCTACTTTCACCTATGGCAAAAAATAGCCTCTTTTGCCACAAGTGTATTTCATACTTGTGGCAAAATATATCATCTTTCGCCATAGGTCCAAGAGACACCTATGGCGAAAGATAGTTTTTTTTTCGCCACAAGTCCAACCTTCACCTATGGCGAAAGATGCTTGAGCGATGCATCTTTGGCGACAGTTGTGGTTACAACTGTTGCCATAGATTCATTTTTTTACCACAGTTACAATTATAACTGTGGTCGTAAATGCTATGTTTTTTTTATAGAATCACTTATAATTATATACATCCTTTACTTTACAAAACCTACATTAATACATAAATAGTAGCTCCAGAGGCCAATACAAATATATATAGTACAAATATTTCAACTAAAATCTCTATTTTCAATACACATATCTAAAATGTTTCTACTCTAACCCTGTTAATTCTAAGAAAAAATGAGACCAAAGATTCCGTATATGTCTCAACTCTCGCTTAGAATATGACTGTAAATTTTGAAAGTGCTGCAATTTCAATAATAATATATGTATAAATAATAACTCAAGTATATGGCAAGTTTCATAATATAAATCATTATTAGCAAATTATTACCTGATCAAATGAGTGAATAATACCTTGAGTGATGATTTCATATATGCAAATCATTACATAATAACCACACTCTATACTTCCTAATTGTTGAGACACTATAAAGATAATAAAAGTAATGAAATTTATTAAATCCATATTATAATCTTCATTCTAATAAGAGAATAAATTTGAAATACTTACTTGCATTTTTACCCACTTAATTTCATTCTTTTTCTTGTCAACCATTCCTGCTGATTTTCAATATATTGCTAATGATCTATTTACCAAATATACACACTTAGAAAATATTAAATATATGTTATTAATAACATAAAATAGAATTATTTGAAGGCTTACAATTCAATCAAAGACTTCAAATCATCGCTTATTTCCCTTCGTAGTGAACAAAACCAATACATAGTATTTTCATATGGGCAAATGATAGGAAGCATCCAATGATGACTACAACATATTAATTTATATTAATATCACATCATTAAGAAAATTTTTATTAAATTGAGGGATGAATTTAAAATTTAATACCTCTCAATAATTGGTAAAAACCAGTACCTCTTCTTTTGCCTACATATCATCTTTCCAATATAAGAAGCTGTTTGATTCACTTTGTCGATTGTGGTTAAAAGTGGAGAGAAGAACCCATAATTATAATCAACACTGAGTTCGGTACATATCTTATGAAGGTACCTTTGATAATAAAAAAATGTTAGCAAGAAAATAAAAATATTAAATACTAATCTAGAAATAAAAATGAACACTTACATAATAAACACTTAAATTATTACTAAGTCCAACTAGTCAAAAATAATGAGATCATTAATATCTTTTTTGGAGACTCTGAAAGTAATAGGCTTCCCAATAATCATTTCGCTTACTTTTATTTCATCAGAAAATTCATTCATATCAACCACCATCGAAGCCAACTATTTCAAATAATCTTCACCAGTTGGGGATTAAAACCTAGAGATTCTTTTGATTATAGGAATTCCTATAATTAATATATAATAAAAATTAGAAATACCTATAATGTTAATTAAGAAATATAAAAATTATAACTTTTTATACCTCATTGGTAGGCTGTCGGGCTAGCCTTTTCAACCAAATAATAAAATTATGCTCAGCTTGTCCTACTATTTACACCTCCTCAGTAAGGAATAACACAGGAGCATTGGCATCCACAACCTCTTCAACTGTGACCTTTACTTGGTTATGTTGTATCGATTGGTGGTGCACTGTAGTTGCATGGTTATACACCTTTTTATATGCAACTACTCATTTGCCATGATCCTCCACATAAAGTATGCATGGCATTCCTTGCTCTGATAGGTTAGGATCACACCCTGGATCTGGAACACCATCATAGTTCGGTGCTTGTTGTGATTGCATTTGGAGATTACTAATCATTGATTGCATTTCCATTATCATGCTCGATTTGCATTCTGCTACCATCATTTATACTTGTTGCATTGGTACAAGATCAGGACGTGATGGTGGTTCAAAATATTATCTTATGCCCACGCCTTTTGGAACCCTCCTAACACGGCCAGAGTGCTCTTCACTTCTTAAAGCTATGGCCGATATATCCTTCCTACCAGTAGATACAAAGGTCCCCTGAGAGGATGCTTCTGTAAAAGCATCCTGGAACATGTAATCAACCAATGCAATTAGTAGACTTAAATCATATAATTGAGATGTTGATTATAAATATGCTTACAATTTTTTTGGCCACTTCTCTAACTTCCAGGAAAATATACTCTCCTTTTTTAGTCATCCGTCCTCTCTTCCATGCTTGTACACGATTAATTGAAGATGGAGGAGAAACGTCTTCAACATTATCAACCCCCATCGCTTGTCTTTTCGCTTCGCACTTCTCTTGGGTCATTATGTCATAAACATATGCATACCCTCCTTGAAATATAGTATGGTTGTATAGGTTTTTCTTCCGACACTCTTAAACCCTTTGACTTTTTTTCTATTAACAAATAATGAAAAACATTTGTTAAAATAAAATTTTAATAATACTAGTTTAATATAATATTTTTCTTTCGCTTACCAAAAGTTTAGGATTGTGTATACTGTGAACAAATTTCATCCATGTGTCATAATTAATGAATGGATACTTCTCCCAAGATTTTTCCACGCCGATATCATTGTCACTATCATCATTTTTATTGTCATTCTTGGAAAACACATATTTTTTTGTAAGTTTGGACTTAAAGTCGCTCCATCGGTCCCTGGCATATTTTAGCCATTTGTCCTTTAAAAATGAAGTTTCCTTTATGTCATATGTAATCTACAAAATAACACACCAACGATGAATTTAATGACAACATATATTTCAAAATAAAAAGTAAATACGATAGAAAGCAGTTAAAAATATCAGTATTATTTCCCAAACATTATCTTCATCACTTTCTTTTATATCATCCCAATCTTCCTCTAAGATGCTAATTTTTTGACGAGCTACAAGACCCACAAAACTCTTAAAAATATTTCTTCTTTTCTTATCAATTGGTTGGCCCTTTTCATCAAAGTCAAGATGAATCTTTCCATATGCTTGGGCTAACTTAGTTAGTCGTGTGGCCCCTCTTTTACCTCTATTAGTCTTTGCTTTTTCAATGCCACTGCTGGAAGGATTTTCCATATTTCTCCTGAAATAAATAAGATAAATAATATTAGTAGAAAAAAATATAATAAATTTAAACTGATATAAATAATGAAAGCATAAAAAAGGGATAAAAAAATTTACTAATATTATGTTACCATTATAAATATATTTTAATTCTCCTAAAACCCTTAATCATGATCAGTTCTAACGTCATAGACATCGTCGTCATCTTCCACATCCAACAAGGGTTGCGTTGGCATAAAAAGAGGAATCTCTTCAATGCCAAAACTTGTTTCATCATTTTCGTCATGAGAGAGGAGACTTTTTCCTAATAGTACAATGGACAACCTTTTATCGGCTAGATTGATAACATAAAAAACTTATTTTGCATGAGTTGCCATGATAAAAGGCTCATCCTTATGTTTTGCCTTATGAAGGTCCACTAAAGTAAAACCTAATTTATCTTCTTAAACACCATTCTTAATATCAATCTACATGCACTTGAAAATGGGCACCTTAAATTTAAAATAATCAACTTCCCATATCTTTTCAATAAGTCCAAAATATAATAAAGATACCACAGTTGGATTTCTATCTTTAGCACTAGAAAAATGAGTTGCCTTAGCCTCTACCATTACCCCACTATGTTGCATAGTGTTATTATCATCTTGTATTTTTGTATAGAATGAATACCCATTAATGTCATATACACTTTAAGTTATAACATCAAAGTTAGGCCCATTAGCTAACCACCTTATTGTATCATAAACATTAGCCTTCTAATGATCCTCCTTTACCCTTGCCCTAAACCAGAGTGAAAAATGTTTGTTATGCTCACTTAACAACCATTTATCGGCCTTTTTAGGGTACCGATCCTTTAATTCATTTTTGTGCGCATCTAAGTAATCTTGAACATCATCGGTGTTATTCAAAATGTATAGATGTGCTTGTTGCATTTCTTCATGTGTCATGCGCTTTATTTTCATCCCTCGTGTCCCTTGCCCATCAACTCTTATCCCTCATGGTGAGACTTGGAAACTCCGATAGCCTTTACTTCGGTTAGGTATTCAGTACAAAACTCGACAACCTCCTCAGCAACATATCTTTCAACAATAAAGGCTTCTGGATGATGGAGATTCTTCACATATCCTTTAAGAATTTTCATGTACCGCTCAAATGGATACATCCAATGCAGATAAATAGGGCCACATAACTTTATCTCTCTCACCAAATGTACAATTAAGTGCACCATGATGTCAAAAAATGAGGGAACAAAATACATTTCATGTTGACATAAGGTAATGACAACTTCATTTTGCAATTCGTCTAATTTTTCAGGATCAATAGCTTTACCACAAATTGCATTAAAGAAGACACATAATTTGATAATTGACTTTCTCACCTTTTCGTCCAATATGTCTCTAATTGCTACTGGTAACAATTGTTGCATTAGTACATGGAAATCATGAGACTTCAAACCAACTAATTTTAAATCTTTCATCGATACAAGGTTCTTGATATTTGAAGAATATCCTCGTGGAACCTTAATACCATGTAAACACTCGCAAAAACTTTTTTCTCTCTCTTAGATAAAGTATAAGGGGCTAGGCTCATGTAAGTCCTCTTTCCTTCTACTCTTGGACCCAAGTTTGTTCATATTCCCATGTCGAGTAAGTCTAGCCTTACTTTAAGTCCATCCTTAGTCTTTCCCTTTATGTCTAACAGTGTTCAAATTAGACTATCATACACATTTTTTTCCACATGCATCACATCAAGATTATGTCTCACCTCAAGGGTGCTCCAATTTAGGAGATTGAAAAAGATAGGCCTCTTTTTCCACTGATTCTTTCGAGCTTCTTTTTTCTTATTCTTACCAAATCCCACATTGATATCTCTCACCCGTTCACATGCCAAGTTTGTAGTTAATGGATCTGGAGCTTCATCATACACTTGATAACCATTGAATCTTTTTTTCTGCTTGTGATAAGGGTGGTCTCATCTCAAAAATCTTTAATGACGAAGATAGACTATCTTTTTCTCATGTTTTAGTTGTTGATGGGATGTGTTCTCTTCACAGATAAGACATGCTTTATACCCCTTCACACTATATCTAGATAGGTTTTCATATGCAGGAAAATTATTTATTGTGTAAAAAATCATAAGTCACAGCTTAAAAGATTCATTCTGATATGAATCAAACACTTCAACACCTATCTCCCACATCATCTTCAAATCTTCAATCAATAGTGTCAAGTAAATATCTATATCATTTCCTGGTTGTTTAGGGCCTGAAATCATCAAAGATAGCATGATATATTTGCATTTCATGCACAACCATGGAGGAAGATTGTAAATCACTAACAGAATAGGTCATGAGCTATATTGACTACTAAGGTTACCATAAGGATTCATTTTATCTGTACACAATTCAAGCCTAAGATTTCCAGACTCATTGCCAAATTCAGGAAATAATTTATCAATTCCATTTCACGCACAACAATGGAGGAAGATTGTAAATCACTAACAGAACAGGTCATGAGCTATATTGATTACTAAGGTTACCATAAGGATTCATTTTATCTGTACACAATTCAAGCCTAAGATTCCCAGGCTCATTGCCAAATTCAGGAAATAATTTATCAATTCCCTTCCATTGTGGAGAATCAACTGGATGCCGAAGCATGCCATCCATTTTTCTCTCATCAGCATGCCATCTCAAGCTCTTTGCCTCATTTGAATTAGTAAACAAACGTTTAAACCTTGGTATTATATGAAGATACCACAACACCTTCGTTGGAGGCCTTTTAGTAATGGAATCATCACTACCATCTATCTCTTTTACTTTGTAGCGTGATGCCTTACAGATCGAAACATGCATCCAATTCTTCAAAATCATTTTTGTATAATATACAATCATTGGGGCAAGCATGTATCTTTTGGTACCCTAATCCATTGGACACAATATTTTTTTCGCCTCATAGTAGCTATTGGGAAGTGTATTGCCCATTGGAAGCATCTCTTTCAACAATCTGAGCAACTCTGTGAAACTCTCATTACTCTACTCATATCTTGCTTTCAAGTTAAACAACTTCAACACCACTGTTAGTCTTGTATATTTTGTGCACCCTGGATACAAAGGAGTTTCTGAATCATTGCATAAGCTATCATATTTGTGCACCTTCTCAACAGCTTCAACACTAATATCACATAACATATCTTCTATTTGATCACTAAAATAATCTATATCATAATCCACCTCTTGTGGCATCCTATGTTTTCTAGATTCACCATGCAATACCCATGATGTGTATGCTTTATAGAACCCAAAAGAAATTAGGTGATCTTTAATCTCAACAAAACTTCGTCGCAACCCATTCAAACATTTAACACAATGATAATAGAACAATCCTTTATCATTAGGAGCATTATTCTTTGCAAATTCCAAAAATTAATCTACCCTTCTCTCATTTTCATCACTTGTCCGCAAAGAATCTATCCAACTATAGTTCATCATTACCTAATGAAAATATAAAAAAATAATTTATGATTTGAAATTTTAAAAAATTTGACAGCATAACGACTTATAAATTAAGATTCCTCGGGCACTAAACCCTCCGATTAAGTCTATTGATTTCCAATAAATCACCAATTTTAACTAATTAAATGCAATGCACGATATTATCTACTAATCAAGTATAATTAACCACACAATAAACAAATAATAATAATGTATCACCCAAATAATTTACATTTTGCAATTTGCTTGCATAACAACTCAATAAATAGAGATTCTCCAAGATTTAAAACAAAATTTAAATTAATTAAACTCAAGGCATGATAGATTATAATTAAATTTAACAAAATTGCAATTAAAAATGTGCATAATTATAATTAGAAAAATGAAAATCAAGTTTTAAAATCAAAAATGAAAAATCCAGGCAAAAATATGAAAAATTAATCTAAAAAAATGACATAAATTGCAAAAAACAATAATAATAAATTGCAAAAAAAGGGGGAAAAACCTTTAGCTAGCATTGAAATGAGTTAGGGGAATAGGGAGGTAGAGGAGACAGCAGGCGACGGAGGAGCTGTGGGCGTCGAGATGAGCTAAAGCTAGAGTTGGAGGATGAGCTAGGGAAATGGAGCTGATAGTGGACGAGGAAGCTGGGGGAAGAGGGGGTGGAGCTACGACGGACGAGGGAGCTGGGGGATGGAGCTACGGCAGACAAGGGAGCTAGGGGAATGAAAGCTGCGGCAGACATTTTGGGAGCTAAGGGCGAGTGAGGGAGCTGCAGACATATGAGGAGCTAAGGGTTGAGCTAAGGCAAATGAAAGATCTAGTGGCAAAAACAAGCTCTAGGTAACTTAAAGGACACATATGGCGACAGGCGTCATTAACGCCTGTCGCCGTAAGTGATGACAAACTTACAGCAACAGGTGTGAATTGTAAGTTTGTCTGATTTCAAGCATACTAAATATGCCTGAAATCAGACAAATTTCATTTACATATATATTTCTAATAAAATATTTAATAAAAATTAAAATAATCTTAATTTTATTAATAATTTAAATTTAATATGTTTGAATTCAGACACATTTAATATGTCTGGATTCAGACATATTAAAAATTTAGATAATTAAAAAAATTTATGTAAAACTTTTAATTATTAATTAATTTTTTTATGGAATCTAGGCATATGTAGTGCTTGAATTGAACATACGACGACAGGCATTTATCACGCCTGTTGCCGTAAATGCTAATTTCAGGCATACTAAATATGCCTAAAATCTGACATACTTACAGCGACAGGCGTTAATAGCACTGGTCGCTGTAGGTTTTTGATTTGAGGCATATTTATTATGCTTGAAATAAGACAAATTTAATTTACATATATATATATATATATTTCTAATAAAATATTTATAAAAATTAAAATAATCTTAATTTTATTAATAATTTAAATTTAATATGTCTGAATTCAAACACATTTAATATGTCTGGATTTAGACATCTTAAAAATTTACATAATTAAAAAATTTATG